TGAACAGGTTGCCAGCCTATTACACTGCACAGCAGGGGACACTCTAAACTGGATGCCAGTCCGTCACACAATCATACACTAAGGAATAGCATTTCTCTAAGCCAGTATTTCTTAAGCCAGTTCTTAGGGACCCCCAGCCGTCCACCCAGCCCCCAACATACCTGTACCTGGAATATGTTGTTCTTGATTGGCTGCAACTGTCTGGGGGTCCCCAAGGACTGGCTTGAGAAACACTAGATTGAGCATATGCTTTGGAACCATGCAAATATGTGGAGATGCAAACTGGACATACACAGGAATGGCGGCAGGAATTGAACCCAAGGTTCTGAAGATGTGAGTTTACAGTAGTGTCCCTGAGCTTCAATTCTGTCCATTTATCTTGTAAGGTATCAGTCCATCCATGCATGCACGCATACATGTAACCATCTTCTGAATGCGTGTCCTGGTCAGGGTCTTAAAAAAATACAATTGAAGACTGATTATCAAGATTTTTTTTCCATCAGGACGGTTTTATCGTTAGACTACAGACAGGCTAGGCTTTCGGCACATAATTTAGTTTACTTTCTTTAATTCAGGGCATTTACCGGTATTATGTGAGTCAATAAGCAAACAGCATACATTGTAGCCAAGCATGCCATTATATCCGTTCGAATCTTTCATTTCTGTGTTGCAGCGCATTTTTCTCTGGAGAATAATCGGTTCCCTGAATAGATACAAATTTAAGCAGCATATTTACAGGGGTTCCTGGACTTTTTCGGTCCATGTCTTCCGTTTTAAAATCCAGAGATTATATGTCCGGGCTGTTTTCCTGAAGGTAACAGAGGAACGAAATCCATCAGCGGACATCGACCTGATCCAGGTATGAGAAGACGGACGCGTTAAAGGACTTCGGTAACGATGATCCTTACGAATTACATGAATTGCTTACAAAATAATCATATTGTAGCTGATGAGATGGGCTCCGCATAGCTGAGCCTAGGAGCATATCCCAGCATGCCTTTCCATAGCCCGCGTGTGTGATTGTGTTACTGTCAATACTTGCTGTGTTCCCGATTGTCGTGTGTGTCCTTGATTCTGTCATGTGTCAATCCCCTCTTGTCTCTTTATACTGTGTAAACTACCCACCGTGTGTGTGCCGTCCGTCGTCAAACTTCCCTGTGTTTCCTTGTCTGTTTGCTCCCTTTGTGGTCACTGTCTGTGTTATTTATATATATATAAAGCGGTATTATTTAAAAACACAATTTATAGACCAAAGGAACGGTTCCACGTTTCTCACCCCTATAGCCGCAATGCGTGGCTCTGCCGGTAATTAATATGCTCAAGAAAAACACTATTTCTGTCCACAAGCATTCTGATAGTAGCACGTGCTATACATAAATAAGTAGATGTAGATGACTAATGGTGACTAAAATATCTGCTAAATCCAACAAGGTGATCGATGTGATGCGTCAAGTATTAATGTTTAATATAGCCTATACTGTATATACTTCTCACCATACCTCGCTACAAAATACCTCATATAATTTCAACAATTTATCACAGATTTGTATTAATGCAGTGTTGTGTTCCCTGTGTTGGAGCTCCGGAAGGTGGGCAGTTCCCTGCCTTCCCGCCCAACCTGCCCACACATCTGCCGTCCTCACCTCCTTACTGCTGGACCGGACCACCCCTCCATCCTGCCAGAGGAAGCAGCTTCCTCACCTGCCTGTTCCGACATCAGCCGGACCGTCCGCATTTATACCTGAACTACACACAGATTTACTTTATAAATCGGGAATTAGCTATTTTGCACTTCCTTTGCGTCCCCAGGAGGTTGGGCTCCCCCTTTGAGTCTGGTTCCTCCCAAGGTTTCTTCCTACTAGGGAGTTTTTCTTTGCCTCTGTCACCTCTGTCTTACTCTCTGGGAGTTTTCGGCAGGGATAATGTACAGTCATTTGAGGCAACGTGATGTTGTGAAAATGCGCTATAGCCTATAGAAAAAAAAGTATATAAACATGTGTGTGTATCTATATATGTATACGTATGTATAAGGCCACACACATTTTCCAGCTACACATTTACAGCCGTCCCAACTAGATATACAATACATATACTGAGTAATTGTTGTACCAGCCGTCGACAGACACAGGTGGCGATGTCTTCTGTTGTAGCCCGAAAATCTGGAGCTGGGACCGTCAGGCGTGTAAACATTCAGGTGCTGAATGTTTACACCCCGCACAGCCCGTGTGCAGTCTTAGTAAGACTATTAATCACTCGCACATTTCATTTAAATTATTGTAGGTTTACAAAAATGTCGAGGAGATAAGAGGAAGAATATACAGATAGGCCTATCTATCATCTTTAACTTATACTAATATTACAGTCAGCGAAAGAAGTATCGAATATAACAGGTATAGTAGGCCTACGTGGTTTAAAAAGCTATATTGTGAAGTATTCGGTTTTTTATTATTCTTAAAAAGTTCGTTCAGAAATTATGAATAAATAAAGTGTTATTTAGGTAGGTGTAATCGTCGAGAAATGTCATCCAGCCATTCCTATCATTGTGCTAAATGATTCCTAAAAGAGACGAGGATTTTCCTGTCTTCTCCGATTTCTGACTGCCGATTACACCAGAGGAAGACCTCGCACCTTATCCTGTCATGTACATCAGCACAAGAACCTAGAAACGCAATCGAGACCCGACAGAAACCAAGGAACAATGGGAATAGTTAATTTTTGCACTCAAGGTACCTATAATGATAACAATCAAAAAACAAATGGGATATAATTCAGCCCCAAGACAAATACATTTTAATTGCCCCTACAATGTTTCAGTGCTATGCTATAAAATATTAATACCCTCGAATAAAAAAGAATGACAGAATAGTAACATATACGTATTTCTATAACTGAAATGATGTAACTATAATGTACAATTATAACGGTTAAAAAACAGTTGTTGCTTATTTTGTGAGCAGAGCAAAATCCAAATTATAATATATATATTACACACACACACACACACACACATATATATATATATATATATATGTGTGTGTGTGTGTGTGTGTGTGTGTGTGTGTGTGTGTCAGCCAGGTTTTGTATCATTTAAAACGGAATTCAAATGTATGTTTAATTTAGGCCGACTATCGAAATATTTATGTTTCTGGTTAAATAAATGAAGATAAATCACCGCTAAAAGGCGTAATGCAAAAATGAACAGGCGGATTAAATAATGTTTTTAATAGAAAGTGACCATTGTTTATTTATTTTTTTTATTTTTACATTTCATAATTTAGCCTAACTTATTTAGAAAGCCTGGAGAATAAAAGTCGCGTGTTTGACGGCTCACGTCTACTAGTAGTATTATTATGAAATTTTAGGCTACATTTCCTCTAGAGTGCAGGTCAAGGAAAGAGAGGATGGTCACCGCGCAGATCACCGAGTTTAAATAGTCAAGTGGGTAAAAGCGACTCCTGGAATGAAGTCATCACCGTTAATTAAAAGCAGGGACGAGCAGGCTGGCCTCCGCCTAGCCGTGTTCGTACGCGGTGGGTGGTCTGTTCTTCCGAAAAATGTCTTTCCAATCTCTTTCAGTGTAGAAACCGGTATAAACCATAACGACTTTCTTCATAGCTTAAAATACAGGTGCTGTGTTTTGCGTTCTGATGTTAGACCACGTTGCTGCATGTATCTATAGCTACTGCTCGACAACGTACCTGTTATCCAGGAGAGCAGAATTAACATCGCAGTAGATGTTAATGTATTAGATATTCACACAAAAATAAATTTCATGGAAAGTTCGTATTTAATATTAAATTCGATATCGTATGTATGAGTGGCATAAATATATTGTTTGTAATATTTATTTTTCAAATACCTTAAGTCACTTTAATAAACGATATATATATGAGGAACCTTTTGAATATAGTAGAGTTCTTTAATATCTCAAAACAATTACTCGACAATGACAATTTTAATCAACCTGTAGCATGTAATCCAGTAATTCGAGAGTACATTAGTCTTTTGAAAATTATTTATCTAAATTGGAATCACATTCCGACAGCGGCAATTTTATCATTTAATTTTATAATTTTTCTACGTCTCTGTTAACTGAATTTGTTTTCTTTATACTGTTTAAAGCCTGAGCTTTTGAATGAGCTATCCGTATTTTAAAGTAAGGCAGGACTTTTGGTATAGGAGCGGTACGGATCGGAGAGCGCGTGCAGACGATCCCTACGGAGTCTCGGCGAAGCTGTGGGCGGCTTCTCTGGTGCTTAAAAATAAAACCGAATCAGAATTTGGAAATCCAGTTAGAGATTTAACGACAGCAACCGCAGAGATATTTCCCGATACAAATGTCCTCTTTATGCAAAGGAGCGGCTTCGCTTGAAGTACCAGGACATGTATTTGATTTTTATTTTAAAGATGTCCGGCAGGCATGTTTGTATATTATTGTATAAACATCCTGCCCATTTCCCAAACTTTCGCAAGTCAGACTCTGCTCTCTAAATTCGTGGGTATTTGCTATACAACTCAACGCAATAATTCGTGTAACCTCTCTACACATTATAGGCTACATCACCTGGTAGTCCAGCGATGCTCCGAAGTATTGCGACGGAATATATGGAATTTGTATACTGATACACATAGGCCTTTAAGTACTAGTAAAGCTAAATGCAGAATTAAAGGCAAACTGATAAACATCACTAGATTGTGCAACGTAATTGATTTAAGACTGGACACTGGAAATACCCTACTTACAAAAAAAAAAAAAAAAAAAAACACCGACATCCCAGCCAATATCACGTAATCGGTCCTGTCACTGAAAATCGGCTCATTTTATGCAAAACTGTTTCACTTGGAGTGTAGCTGAAGCTCTATTTCGTTCTGGACAGGCGGAAAGAAAGCGGGAAAAAGTTTGTCATTAGAAACAGAAACAGGCATTTCCCTCGACTGCGTCCCACTGGAGTGGGAGGGGCTGAATGGGCGGTTTCTCAGGGTTTGTAAGACGCTGATGACAGGAGATAAGTGTAAAGGGATCTCCGCAGGAAGAAGGAGCGCACTCGAACCGCAGACTTCATCCTGTTTAACTGCGCTCAAAGACGCGGTATGCAGGCATGCAGCAGGCCTACAGAAAAACGGCAATCCGATCACAGCGTTTGTTTTAATACATTGCGGCACCGCGGACTTTACTAATAAAGCAATAGAGTCTCCAGGTTAGTGACTGAAGGCTGTGCACGAGAATAATGACGGCAGAGTTTGCGCAAGCCTCGGCACAGGCCCCTGCTCAAAATAACTCCACGTGTACCCCATCGGAAGAAGCGAGCGGACAGACATCAGCGATGGAGCCCACCTCCTCGACGACTAAAAATAAAAAGACCAACGCCGGAATCCGCCGGCCCGAGAAACCTCCCTATTCCTACATAGCTCTTATAGTCATGGCCATCCAGAGCTCGCCCAGCAAGCGCCTGACGCTCAGTGAGATTTACCAGTTCCTCCAAAACCGCTTTCCTTTCTTCAGGGGCTCCTACCAGGGATGGAAGAACTCCGTGCGCCACAACCTATCCCTCAACGAATGCTTCATCAAGCTGCCCAAGGGGCTCGGCAGACCGGGGAAGGGGCACTACTGGACTATGGACCCCGCAAGCGAGTTCATGTTTGAAGAAGGGTCGTTCCGTCGGAGACCGAGGGGATTCCGGAGAAAATGCCAGGCGCTGAAGCCCGTGTACAGCATGATGAACGGGCTCGGATTCAACCATTTACCGGAGTCCTATAACATCCAGGGAACAGGAGGATCCCTGACCTGTCCTGCGAGCGGATTCTCGCTGGATAGCGGGATTGGGATGATGAACGGGCACTTAAACACCATGGAAGGCATGGGTTTGGCAGGGCACTCTGCGTCTCACATGTCACCCAGCAGTGGACATTCATATGTGGGGAGTTGCACAGGATCTGACGGGGGCGAGTATACGCATCATGACAATCCCGCCTCGCCGTTGCTTCCAGGCGGGGGAGTAATCGAGTCTCACCTAAGCTACTCCGGCGCAGCCTCCACCTGGGCAAACGGCCCCTCTTACATCAAGCAGCCGCCGCTGGCACCCTGTAACCCGGGAGTAAATCCGCTACAGCCGGCCTTGGGGGTGCATCCCTTGGACGGTGGCTATCTACACCAGAATGGCCACGACCTACAAGGTACGAAACCTGTCGTTACATTCTATACAGTCTGGAAATTATTCTAAAAAAAAATCACATTATTAACATTATTTTTAAAAGAAATTATATCATCTCACAGATCAATCATCATTACTCCGAGGTTTAGTTAAACTGCTCTGAAAGTTAATGTGATTTATTTAAACAGTAATTGTAACATTGTGTTACTTTAGTCCCATTTTTCAAAGCGAGCCTTGACGTTTGATTATAATGCATAGCAACGTCTGTACATTTGACGAAATGCATCGAGCATAAAACAAGTTTTCTTTTTCAGATTTTAGAATATGTAGTTTGAATGAAAACAGAGAAACCCCAAACATTACACCACGAACGATGAGAATACGATGTACCTGCTTTTGTTTCCTGTCCTATTTTAACTCACAGCGGGTAACCCTGGATATATGTTTATTATACATCCCTGGAGCTATTTGTGGAAACATACGGAAGCATCTCGCTAGGAGTTATGTTCGCTCTCCATGCAGCGGCCTGAAGGTCCAGATCGGGCAGTGAGGCGGACCTGAGGCGCCGCATCTCGGGGGATTTGCGTGCAGCCGATCCGCTGTCTCCGAAACAACCAAGCCCAGATAATTACCTTTAATTATCCACAAAAAAGATAAAGAAATCCAGCCGAGCTTATGGGAATGATTCGAATAACATTTTTTTTCTGCAATATGATAACTTTTGCAGTACAAAAAAAAAATGTTTGCGTTACTGTTCAGCGTAATGTGAAATTATTGGTGTTCATTTTCTGGTTGAGCACCTCCAGAAATAATCAGGTTTTCATAGCTTTTGTTCAACAGCTTAACATTTTCTGTATGCCTATTTGCTATAAGCACAAGATATTTCATAAAAGGGAGATTGGCCTAATTTCAGATTTGTAAATAGTCTGTTTTAGAATCATTTTTGAACACAATTTACATATTTTATGGGCACCACATTACAATAAGGCTCCCTTTTGCTACTTGTAAATGGTAGTTACTCATTAATAAAAAGAAAACTGTTATAACTTGTTTAAAATTGTCTATTAATTTATAAAGTGTTACAACCTAATTAATAACCAGATTATAAACCATTCATGAACTCTTTATATGGGTAGCCTTATTGCAAAATGGTACCTTTTTATGTATATGTAAACTATAAATAGTCTAAAATTTAATATCAAAAGTGTAACGTTCTATTACAGTGGGCCTATCTAAATCTTTTTTTCATTAGGCCTATTATTCAAACGCGATATTTTAAGAAAGTATAGGCCTGTTAATAAATATAGTTTGTCGATTTCTTCTGAAATATTATATGACAAATGACTGGAAAATAATTTCAGTTTTATTATTTTCCAACAGCGTTGCATTTGGAATATGATGCGTAACGACGTTAGGTGTCTGTCTATCAAAGCTCTGTTGAATTTCGTCACTTTTAATGACTGTAAACTTATTTTGTCAGGAATCGCACGCTATCATTCCCAGTCCCCTGCCATGTGTGACAGGAAGGAATTCGTCTTCCCCTTCAACGCGATGCCATCGGCCGCCATGCACTCTGCAGTCGGCGGCCCTTACTATCAGCAGCAAGGCACCTACCAAGACATAAAACCCTGTATTATGTGACATGGACCAGTCACTCCTTCATTTCTCTAGCTGCTGGAGAAAACAAAAGAAATCGACGAAAAATGCTGCCAAGTCACCATGGCGGATTTATTACACGAAAACGGCATCACATATATACAAATACACCGCTTTTCATGTTTTGTTGGTTCGCTCAGTAAGTACATCACGGCTACAGCTTATAAACATCTCCTGTTGGATGTGTCCCCGTGGATCTTCGAAATGACTGATTTATCTTGGAGAATAAAATGACTTTGGACTTAAGTTGGACGCAATTTTATCAATCATAGAAGATGTAAGGCACTTTGAATTGGCGACCGATTATTTATTATGCTTTTCTAATGTAAATGTAAAATATATCTTTATGGGCAACATTTGCCATGATTGTTTTCGCTTGAAACACTAAAGATGTGTGCCTACATAGAGCTGTAGTTTCTTAATATGTATATGTGAATTATTCAGACATACAAAAAATGTACATATCATGCATTTTTACTTTTTCAGTATACGTGATATCTTGAAGGAAATTTATTTACGCTATTTGTATAAAGAAAATGCACTGGCATGCAGTAAAATTATTGGGGATCGCGATTATTTGTATATACAATACATATAAAATATTTTCTCAAATTATGATTTGTCCTATTCATACGGAACATTTCTCTAACAGCACTTAACAATGATATTTGTAAATATTTGTAAAATCAATCATATTTACAGGTTTGCGAGGGAAATTAATATAATTTCACACTATCTTTCCTTCAGCACAAATCGATGATTTTGATTTTTTTCCCCCCATTTTGAAGCGCCGTTTTGTTTTCTCCAAATAGGCTACACAAGTACGGCCTTTCTCCTGATTGTTTTAATAATATTATATTGGGTATAGGTCGGATCACTGGTTGATTGGTAGCCATCATTTTGCTTTAAAAAATTGCAGTATTTTTTATGAAGCACTTTTTAAAATTAGGCACCTCCAACAAAGTACAGCAGAGCTATAGAGACCCCGTGCCTTACCGCTAAGATCCGGGAAGGAACGCTGCCGGAGTGAGGTGAAACGCCGAATAATTTGATTATAACTTTGTTTTGTTTAGGAAAAAGAAAAAAAAACAGTGGAGGACAATGATTTTGTGATTATTTGGTGCTGAATGCCAGGCAGCCTACGTTTGACGAATCATTGAATTTTGAGTGTCGCTGCATTTTGTGAAATTTCGGCGGACTCGCGGACCCCTGTTAGAAGACCAATGCTGTACTGGTTGGAAGATAGATGGATATTATTATTATTATTATTATTATTATTATTATTATTAGAATAAAGTTCAGACTTATGAGCTTTAAACCTTACACTTTATCCCTTCTTTAGCGTTGTGGGAAGGAAACGTTCCGGCTATTGTAGCATCTGATTCATCAAGCCAATCAATTTTCGTAAGAAATATCAGTCCTGCCCAGATTCATGAGTGCTAAAACATAACCAGGCGGTAAAGAATCGGAAAATATTTCTGTCTGGAAAAGGTCAATCTTGGTGTACTATTAAATATGAAATAAGCATCACTCACGTTTCAGAAAGTAAAAAAAAAAAAAAGTATTATGTATATATGTCTAATTTGGAAATCTCAACTAAAGGATTTAATCTCTTTAGTTTTGCAGTCATGTTTCCCTGGGATTAAGCATGAACACGCACACTGACAGTAATCTATGTGGTCTGATTTAACATATAATCATGACCAATTTCTTATCAAACGTCTTTGCGGCTGTGAAGCGGTAGATAAGAGCGATTCTCTTTGCCCACCTGGACTGTATGAATCCTCAGCTGACCTAATGGCTGGGATCCCTAACTATTATGCATTAAGCCTATTAGTACAATAGCCGCAGCATTTCCAAGTATCCAGCTATTAGCTGTAAAGTTATTAAAACACCTTATAACCATATATTATATTATTATAATACCCGACAATACTGATCCTAGCTGGCGTGGCAGCATACACTGGTGCCTTTTGTCGGAGACAAAGTGAAATTGGCGCCCTAGGCGGCTGCCTATGTCACCTACAGGGCTGACTGACCCTGATGTCCAGAGATTGCAGTAGAGAGTGTCGTCCTGTTTTAAAATGCCCCTGCACATGTGGAACTGAATTTCTAAATGTTCGAAGTGCATTTCTAGCTGGTCGGACACTGTATCCATAAAGCATAGGAGAAAGTTTGATGTTTGGCGGGGACACACACAACATAATAATTTAAATGGAAGGCCTACTTATTTGGGGGGGGAATAAGAGAAACAGATCCTACACCCCTAACGGTGCCTGTAATTGGATGGTCAGTGGTTCGAATCCCAGAGTTGGCAGAGTTTCACTGTTGGGTCCCTGAGCCCAGCCCCTAATCTCCAGTTGCTCCAGGATTGTCTGATCCTGCTTTCTCGATTTTACGTCTCTTTCTATAAAAGCATGAATATGAATAAAACCACCTTAAACAATAAGTAAGGCCTTCACTGCGGATCTGAAGCCCTTTGAAGAGGGGCCCTGATAACACCACCCACCCCCCACATTCCCGCTGGCGCATTATATAGGGTAGGTAACCTAGTAATAGTAACCAGGACAACAATTCACATAAACAAACACAGTATATTTACCATTTTTGTAAATGGAATCAGCATGACCAGTGAAGGCCTATGGGTATTGAAGTCCTTTGTAATCATAGGTGGGACTGGGCCTGTGCAAATAGATATGGGGAATCAAATTGTGAAATCAAGCCAATATCTGGGTCAGTATGAACATTTTTAATATTTATGGTGGACAGATTAAGTTAAATTGTTTCATAAACATGAATTGTTTGCTCGGTTGCAAAAAGGAAGGTTAACTGTCACATGTGACTAAAAGTGTAGAGGTGTGGAGAATGAGTGAGAAGAGCTTTGGTTCTTGTGGAATATGAGCCTTTGTATGTATAGGGTTTGTTGGTAGTAATGCCGTTCTTCCCTTACACATTTCCCTCTGATAAAGCCCCCTGCTGCTTTTGTAAATATTTGCTGTAGTTTTGCTTGTTCCTTCCACAGTCCACTAGAGGGTGACATCTACCAAGAATTCCTGAAGGAAATGCCATTAAAATATATCATGAAAACTGTGATATATTGATGCCTGGTTCTATCAGCATGCGACTGGCTGTGTTTATGAAACATTAATCAATTATCTAACTTATTACTTTTGTGTCAAATTCTAAACATAGTATTTCTGTGAAAAGAGGACCACACACTTTGCCAATAACTTCAGGTTATTGGCAAAGCTTCAGGTTTGAATGAAATAGCAAGGTTTGTCCCCCTGGGAAGGACAAACTCACCAGCAGAGGCATGAGCTGCAGTCCAGTGCAAGTTCTGTCACCCCACAGAAGATGAAGGAGAACATCCGGAAAGAGGAGGGTGCCGTCATAAAAAACCCGAACCCACTGCATCCTGCTCAGCAGCAAATCTGCCAAGAGATAAAGGTGTGAAGAAGAACCACCTGGAGATGACTAATAAATCTGCTCAAGTCTGCTGAGATGTCTGCTGAGAAGCACAATGCTTTCTTTATCCTCCACGCTCCATTCGGAATCTCAGACAGACTTGTCTACTTGCTTGCTTGTTCCAGATACTGGCCAGCAGATTCAGGGGCTCAGTTGGATGGCACCTCCAGATATGTGTAAATAAGGTCAACTTTCTACTTACTGCACTCAAGCTGGAAGCTGTGGACAGACAGCAGCAGCCTGGGGGTAGGAGCCAAGCCCCTCTAAAATGCTTTTATATCTATTATATTAACCCTGATTCACAGCCACAGTGCGAGGGGGTGTACCACATGGTGTGTGTGTGTGTGATGGTAGATGCTTCTGAAGCCAGAGTATGGCGTCTGCAGCGATTCAGAGCTCAAGCAGAGCCTCCACATGTTCACACACGTTTCATCATGCCGGGACCAAGTCTTACCGTCCTGATGGATACTCGCTGGTCCTTCTCCCCTAGAGATCTTGTGCTTTTATCTAATCTTCCTCCCTCTGCTTTCTGAGTTCATAAACGATCCAGAAATCCCCCCGCCTTCATTTTGTCACTGTGAAGTAGCTCTGTGATCTCTCTCTCTCTCTCCCTCTCTCTCTCTCTCTCTCTCTCTCTCCCTCTCTCCCCGTCTGCTCCAGCTGACTACATCCATGCCGTGATGAGGGAGCGGCCCCCTCCACTTTCTCCACACCCCGCTCTCCCTCGCCCTCCTCATGCTCATGCCACAGAGGGTCCGGATGGAGGCACACGGAGGAGCAGCTGGCCAAGGTAGGGGCAGCTGACTGTGTGTGTGAGTCACGGGTGTGTCAGGAGTGGCAGGGAACACGCTATCTACATGTAACATGCATGGTGACATTGAGGGACAGGTATATAATGAGGAGAGCAACAGCATGACTATATTCGATTGGAGGAGACGGACCCAGTGCAGAGGGACCAGGATGTGGGCATGGAAAGGCTGCTCTCAGCTCTGAGTATCGCCTCATTGGAAGGAGCTCAGATTACGTGTTTAACAGAGAGAACTTAGGGTTGATTTGAGCAGGGGGTGTGTGCAGCTGGTCAGCATGAATGTAACATGGATGGAGTCATCAGTCCATGCTGACTGAACAGAGATGGACTTTCCAGTCAGACGAGACCGAACTTCCTGAAGGAGACCTCAGCTCTCAGCCTCTGAAGCATCTGCTGTAAAAATGTGTCATTCGCACACGGCCGGTTTTCTCATGTTCGGATGAGACCCGAAGTCGCTACAGGTGGTGACGGCGTGACTCGAATGACAGAGACGGAGCAGGAGCTGAGAGTCTGCTGAGGCGTCACCTGCACCTCCGTTAAATTAGTGAGACACCAGCCAGTGAAGTGCATACTCGTGTGATACAAGTGTGATACTCGTGTGTGGATCTGTCAGATGCTCCAGATGGCTTTTATTAAAATGAAGATAAAGATACCTCAGGAAACTGAATACGGGGTAAAATGCAGAGGTTTGTGTAAGATCATCACTGGTGACGTGCTCTCAAAAAACTCAGTGTAGCCAAGAAATTGGAAGGTAGTCTTCTGTAAACAGCCCTGAGATTGTGCAGAATGTGGGTCCCTACAGAAGGACGTGTAGCTTGAGTTCAAGCAGTTCGAGCAACTGATGATGTGCTTGAACTGGAATGTGAGCTACCAAAAAAAGGGCTGGAATTTGAGCAGCTGATGCTCCCAGGAAATGGACGGCGAATGAGATACATCCTCACCGTGACACCATCTGTTCCTACATACTCAAGTCCCTAGAGTCACATGACCCAGCTGGCTGCTGTCTAATCCCATAAATTTACTTTACTACTAATAATCAGGCATTATTGTACAGTGATCAGGAGACATCGTGATTGAAGAATGAATTTGGGGCTGCAGGAACCAGCTTTGGGGCTGCAGGAACCAGCTTTGGGGCTGCAGGAACCAGCCCTGAGCGCTGTTAAGCAAGCGGTTGATTTCTCATCCCCTGCTTGTCCTTCGCAGCAGATCCAAACAAGGATGTTCAGAAGCCACTGAAGTCCTGCAGCTCAGGGGAACTGAGCCCAGAGGCATCCCATAATCCTTCACTGGGAGAGGAGAGAGCAATCCCACTGCCCCTTTCTGGGCTACTGCATCTGACAGACAGGAGACGTGAGTGTTAATGATGGCAAATGGCGGGGGGGGGTCGGGGTGCTATTTGGCAGGGGGGTTGATGGAAACTGCATCCAAGCTTGTTTGGGCAGAATTCTACTAATAGCTTAAAGTTGTTACAATCTTATCTAGCTCTGATTTAAAGGAACCCAGGGTTTTAGCTTCCGCTACACTAACAGGAAGACTATTCCATACTCTAACTACACACTGTGTAAAGAAGTGCTTTCTCACATCCAGTTTAAAATGTTCTCCCGCTACTTTCCACTTATGGCCACGAGTTCTAGTATTTAAACTAATAAGTAGCCATTTGGCTGAACAGCATCCAGACCCGTTAGAATCTTATAGACCTGGATCATGTCCCCCCTTAGTCTCCTTTGCTCGATGCTGAACAGATCCAGCTCAGCTAACCTCTCCTCATAAGACATTCCTCTAGGACCAGGAATCACTCTCGTAGCCCTCCGTTGCACCCTTTCCAAGGCAGCAATGTCCTTTTGAAGGTATGGTGACCAAACCTGCACACAATATTCTAGGTGGGGTCTTACCAAGGAATTATATAATCGTAGCATCACCTCCCTTGACTTAAACTCCACACACCTCGAGATGTAACCTAACATCCTATTGGCCTTTTTAATTGCTTCCCCACACTGGTGGGAGAGAGAGAGAGAGAAAGGGGGGGTGAGGGAAGATGGGGCCACCACTCAGAGCTTGGTGAAGACAGGGGAGTCGGCATCATGACTCATTCTTGCTCTGATCGTAGGATCCCTGCTCAGACTGACACGTACAGACTGCAGCCATTGTTCTTTGTTACTTGTGCAGCTGAAAATCCACTCTGTGTAGTCCCACAAAGGTATGGCCGTTCCCTCCCTGGGTGAGGTCCAAGCCTGAACAAGAAGCTACAAACACGGCCCACAGACCCATCATTGTCGCTGGATGGTCAATGCATAATCACAGAGGATGTGGTGAAAGGCCCGTATCCCGCCCCCCCCCCCACCCCCCCATATTGCAGTGTCAGGGAGCGGGATACTGAGCATCCCTTAAGGGGTTTGATTTGCCTTGAGACATGTGGGGCTGTGACAGGAAATGCCAACAGGAGACAGGAAGTGGCTTCCTTCAGTAATCCAGATCAACTTGGCCCTGGTTTCCAGATTGTGGCTAATAAAGCCATCAAGGGCAGATTCACAGCCGAATGGCCCAGATCTGTCACGTTAACCTTTAAAACTTCCCTCTAAATCGCTGTATGTGCCAGATCTAGATCATACCGTTGGGTCTTTGTATCACGTGATGTGGGGAGGATGGACATCCTAAGCCATTACTTGTGAAAGTGTCACTGCCACATCCTCACGATGATCTTGCAGAAAGCAGCCAGTTCTGCCCCCATGCCCCATAATTCCCTGCAGGCTCTGTGAGAGACGGCTTCCCGCTTCCACAGCTCAGAGGGGGAAACCACATGAATCTGGGATATGACATCATTGGCCCCCTTGGGTCTCTTTCGGATTTTCACAAAACTGTCCAAAATGATTGATAACATTTTTTGCTGTTTATCCCAGTGGGGAACAGAGGGCATGTAGGGCTGGCACAGGAAGGCTGTATAGAGAGCCACAAAAACGCCCCATGGCCACTTTCTGATGTCTCTCTCTCTCTCTCTCTCTCTCTCTCTCTCTCTCACTCACACACACACACACACACACACACACAGTCGTGTAATCATATCTTTTTGGGGACCGCTCATTCGTTTCTATGGGAAAAATGCTAATGCTAACTATGGCAACCTTAACCCCTATCCAGCCCTAACCATAACCATAAGTAACCAAACAAAATACAGGAGTTTTTGCAATTTCAGTTTTTTCATTGCAGTCATATGGATTTTTATAAAATAGAGTTTTCCCATATGGGGACCAGGAAACTGGTCCCCTTAAGGTAAAAAACAAACGGGTTTTCATCATGTTCTGGGGATATTTGGTCCCCAAAAGGTAAGGTATACCTGGACCACACACACACACACAGACCTGTACTCATACCTTTGTGGGGACTCTCCATTCATTTCTATGGGGAAAACTCTAATTCCAACTATGACAACCTTAACCCCTACCCAGCCCAAACCTTAACCATAAGCAACCAAACAAAATATGGGACTTTTGGCATTTTTAGTTTTTTGATTGCGGTCACAGATGTTAATAAAATAGAATTTCACCTTGTGGGGACTGAAAACGTGGTCCCCACAACATCAAAATAACAGGTTTTTATGACATTGGGGACAATTAGTCCCCACAATATATTATATACATAACCCAAGACATCCACAGTCACACACACACACACACACACACACACACACACAGACCTGTACTCATACCTTTGTGGGGACTCTCCATACATTTCTATGGGCAAAACCTAATCCCAACAATGACAACCTTGACCCCTACCCAGCCCTAACTTTAACCATAAGTAACCAAACAAAATTAAAATTAAATTTCCCCTTTTGTGGACTGAAAAAATGGTTCCCACATCAAAATAACAGACAAAGTGTCCACACAATGTAATGTATGTCTGAACCACACACACACACACACACACACACACACACACACACACACACAGCTAACTCCTGCCCTGTGAATGATGGGAAATCTCATCCCACGAGTTAGAACTTGGTGACTGATGCACAACAGTGTCTGCAGAAGTATCTAGAAGGATGCTGGAGCTCTGCACTGGCCGGGGCGTAACAGCGTCTCCTGGTCCCAGCCGTGGTACCCATCAACTTCTGCCTCGCTCTCCTGCAGAGCCTCTGAGCAGCGTCTCCTCGCTGGAGGTGCACTTCGACCTCCTGGACCTGACCGAGCTCACGGACGTGTCCGACCAGGAGCTGGCTGAGGTCTTCGGCGATTCGGATGAAGAGAAGCACATTGAATCACCAGCAGGTAAAAGGTCCCCGATCCTCAGACTCCTCCTCATGCCTCTTTGACTGACAGCGTTGGCCCCGCTGCTGATTATATTTTAATCATATAATAATGATAATAATATCAATCTTACGTGTGGCATTAGTGATTACCTTGGGACTGTGAGATATCGTTCTTTTAACAGCAGTGATGGGACCCATCCATCGTTCATTCATCCATCTGGCCGCCTTACGACCATCTTACCTTAGACAGTCAGGGGGAGCCTGTTCCAGACAGCACAGGGAACGAGGCAGAGCCACGACACCCATCCATTACGTGGGAATATACATGAACATACTATGGTGCATTTTTAGGAAGTGTGCCTGACACAGGGGGAACACACAGACTGGACACATAGAGTAGAGGTGAGAGGCAACAGTTTTACCCAGGGAGCCACCGCACCATCAGTCCTCTGCAGCCAGGGGGCGATAGCTGGCAGAATAGCAACCGGACTTAGAAATCAAACAGCCGCTCTAGTAAGATGCCAAAACAAGGCATTTGAGACATTTTAGAAGGCCATGCCTGATCATGATGTTTACCTTAATCACACTGTGCTTGTAATTGTGCTTTAGTCATTAAAACTTAGGCTGCCCCACATATATACCTCTCTCACCACGAAGAGGTTCATCTGGGCAGTTTCCTCACTGGCCGTGTGGAAAGAAACAGAGCGAATGACCCAGCGTGACCTTTAGGGTGAAGCCGACAGAGATGGAGGCACCGGGTTGATTCCCAGCCACATGAAAGTGGGCTGGACCGCAACGTACCAACACAGAGTCTGAGCTTCGGGACGAAGGGGTGCCGCAGATCCGTCCTTAGCCATCTGGCCAAACAGCTGCAAGACCAATATGGAGAAAAGATCATAAAGTGTAAAATAAAGAATATAAAGATAAAAATAGGTTAACCACATGGACCTGACCAGCTGGGGGTGTGGGGGTGGGTGGGTTCATACTAACCATTTCACTGCTGTTTCTGTCCACTGTCTCCTGTGCCTGGTCCTCTCGTCCCCAGGTCTGCGTCGAGACACACCAGCTCTCCAGCCTCACAGTGACAGTCACCTACCAGGTTCGACCCACAGAGCCCATCTGACATATTATTTTATTTATTGTTTTATTTTATTTATTTGTGATTATTTGTCATTGTTGACACACCACAGCATACAGTGCACAACAACGAAATGTGTCCTCTGCATTTAACCCATATGTGACTTTCGTGACATAGCAGGGGGCAGCTAATTCAGCGCCCGGGGAGCAGTGCTTGGGGGTGGTACCTTGCTCAGAGTACCTCAGTGGTGTCTTCGTGGTCGGGGATTTGAACCTGCAATCTTCTGATTACGAGTGCGCTTCCCTAACCATTAAGCCACAACTGCCATAAGCTAAGGACGTGTCATACAACGGGGACGTGTCATACAACGGGGACATATCATACAACAGGGACGTGTCATACACCGGGGACGTGTCATACAACAGGGATGTGTCATACAACAGTGATGTATCATACAACAGGGACGTGTCATACAACAGTGATGTGTCATACAACAGGGACGTGTCATACAACAGTGATGCGTCATACAACAGGGACATGTCATACACCGAGGACATGTCATACAACAGGGATGTGTCATACACCTGGGACATGTCATACAACAGGGATGTGTCATACAACAGGGACGTGTCATACACCGGGGACATGTCATACAACAGGGATGTGTCATACACCTGGGACATGTCATACAACAGGGATGTGTCATACAACAGTGATGTGTCATACAACAGGGACGTGTCATACACCGGGGACATGTCATACAACAGGGATGTGTCATACAACGAGGATTTGTCATGCACCGGGGACGTGTCATACAACAGGGATGTGTCATACAACAGGGACGTGTCATACACTGAGGACATGTCATACAACAGGGATGTGTCATACACTGAGGACATGTCATACAACAGGGATGTGTCATACACTGAGGACATGTCATACAACAGGGACGTGTCATCCTTGTAAATTTGTCTTTGTGCCCCAGGGCGAGACCTGTCCCCCTTGGGCCACAGCCAGTACATGTACTCCACCTCCTGGACCCAATACAGTAAAAGTGAGCCAACTCAAGACAGGGACCGGCAGCATAAATCAGACAGCGAGGAGTAATTCCTGCACCCGGAGATTCGAAGCGGCCAGAGCCAGTGACAGAAGGAGGATACTGGGGACCGAGGGCGCTGGCGCTAAGCAAACCCACTCAGACCCAGAGAAAGAGGAACATGTGCCTGCAGTGCGTTCTGGGAACTTCTCCTCCCTCACAACACCAAGGGGCTCCATCTCAGGGGGCCAGGGAGGGGACCAAACCACAGTGTCACCATCATGCTGCTTCAGGAGAATGTCCTGCTCACGACGCAAAAGAAAACTGGCACCCGGAGACAGTTCTGATGGGAAGGCTGTGAGGTCAGAATGACAGCTGATACTAAAGCTGCCATGCCACAGGGACAAACATGTCCGCTGTCACCCGCTGACCTTCAATAAAACATGAGCAAAGATGGGTTTTGCCCATTTATCACTATCAGAAAACAGATGGTCCATGATGAAGTACAAGGCTGCAGATTTGTGTGAGAGACAGACGCATTTACCCATGTGAGCGCTCAGCGAGAACCTAACGCTTACATATTTAGCATGTTGGAATCTGAAGTGCTGTGGGTCTTACTACACTGTGTGTGTATGTCTGTTAGGATGGAGAGCGTTAATCCAATAAACACTGCATCTATTTCAGTTTATGTTAAGGTGTTAAGTCTGACTGTGCTTAAGTGAGACCTACAGCAATGTAACAATTTATAACAACAAAATTCACTAATGAAATGGATGGCCCCCAACCTACGGTATAACAGATTGCACCAAGCAGCCCAGCGTACCTGTCCTGGTTCTGTTCTCGTGTCTTTTCGTTTGTGAGTCCTGAACCAGAACCGCTTACAAAACTCCGGCCACAGACTCTGACACACAAGTGATGGAAATCCTACCCAAAGCGCTCATGTTCTCAGAGGTGCCGCTGAGGCCATTTTCAAAATGTGCTCCTTGGGGAGGTGAACCTCTGCTCCTCCCAGCAGTCCCTGTGAGAGCTGAAGCTTTGTTGAAGGTGCTCAGGATCTGCACTAGAATACGACATAAATTAAACTTTGTGCATTTCAACCCTATACACAAGCCTGAACACAGGCAAAACGTCATGTAACATTATATCCTGAAGCATAAGCATTAACAAAGAAACTGCACAGCTCATGTCCCAACACTGAAGCGCAGTGCAGGTGTGAATGAACAAGGCCCCGGGGCCAGGGGCCGATCCTCTTCTCTGGTTGGGGCCCCATCAGCCTGATCCCATGGGGGGTCCTTTCCAGCAGCTTATATTAAACATGAATGTATGCTCTTCAAATTTCTTGTGTTTTAAATACTTTTTCTCAATGAAAAAAGTATAACGGCATAATTATGTAATCTGTGTTCATTTACAGGGAAATGTAATTCAGGATATATGGTGTATATATTATGTATTGTATTTAAAACCTGCATAAAACACAAACCCATTGTATAACACATTTGTAACATACATTTATTTTACATAGCTGTTTGTTTAAATAAAGAGAATTCCTGTTACAGTACAGTCTGTGGCCTTTTTGGTGGATCTGGGCACCGATTACACACCCCTCACCTTCACGTATCTCATCGGTTCCGGGGGGGCAGGAAGGTAGCTGAGACCTAACACAGCATTACGATGACGTGGCAGCCAGCTGGCTCGCCCAGCGTGTCCTGATATTAAAGATCACAGCAGCACCATGGCACCCGTTTCATCCTAGAACCTCCTGTAAGGGATTGAAAGATGTTTAATAGGAAAATGTTGCCATTGGGCCTTTGAGCAAGGTCCTTAACCCTTGCTGCTCCAGAGACTGACCATGTTCTCTGAGCCTCGCATTGTTGCAGCTAATGAAACATTCAATAAATTAGAATATCCAGTTAAGAACCTCCACTCTGAAAAACACTGCATGAACCGTCAGTTTAATCCACAAACACGTTAATGCAAACCAGCCAAGGGTATATAACAAACGGCCATCCTCAGATCAAACAAAACACGAACACACGCGTGACAGTTGGGGACATTTAAAGGATAGACCGCAATGCTCAATTACTGCAGAATGTAGGATGCAGGTATGAGATCAGGTGGAAGTATGAACTCATAGATCACATAAAGGGAGGAGAAACATCTCAGATAAACACTGAGTGTGTATCTTCACAAAGAAAGAGACATTTACACACTATCCCTTACAAATAACAGCTGTTCATACAGGAGCATCTGAAAGTACTTTACACACACCCCCTAACAACCTATTTAGCCAAACCAAAGCTCTAATACAGGTACTTCTGCTCCATGCCACCACCTGAAATGAGCCAACCTGCCTCCTGTCAATGTTCTCCTTATCAGAGTTCTGAGTCCTCCAGTTTTCACACTGCACTATATGGACCATTTCTTCTTTGAGGGTCCTGGCTCTTGTTCCCTTTATGTTCCTGTCATGCAGTCCTGAGGGAGGCTGGTCTCTAGCACCTCCACAAACTCACCACATCTCCTCAAAGGGTCGAGGTCCTAACAGCTCCCGCGTGTCACCTTTGCCCCACCTGGACAGAGCAGCTGTAAGCCAAGGTGAGCAGGAGACCGCCACGTATAAGAGACATCACACATGCGATGTTCTCAAACAACACATTAATCAGGAAAACACCCAATCTGCTGTGTTCAGCTGCTGAGCTGTGATCTCAGGGGCCTGAAGGGCACAACTAGAGCACCCCCCCCATACGGATCTCCTATCTCTCTGTGACCGGTGGAGGTCACAGAGGTCACAGGAAGCCCAGAGGTGGTGGAAGCTCGTCTCAAGCAAAGACTATCCCAGGGAACATGGCGTACAGGGAGCAGTGCAGTTTGATGTCTGCATCTGCAGCCCACGCTGTCCTTCCATTGCAGCATCTTGGAAGCCCCAGCAGCATCCCTCCTCTGCAAGCTCCTCACTACAGAAACTGCAGCAGTGCCTGTGGCCACACCCACTGAGCCATGACTCAGAGCTGTACACCGCTGCCACCTGGTGGTGTGGATCATCACCCGCTGGGCACCCTCTGGGTTACAATCTGAGGGATGGGGGGGAGGGCACAGACATGAAATGCAACGGTAAGATACAGATACTTAAATTAACAACACAAGAGGGACCCCATTGAGAGATATTCGGTCACGTTAAACCGTCTCAAGCCGATAAAGTGAGGAGCTCAAGACGCTGCAGTTGGCATCTGCTAAAGTGCAAGCTGAACCACCAAGGGCTTCTTATCTCCACGCAGCTCTTCACTGGATACATTCAGCTTTTAAACTGAGTTGACATACACTAGGCATCTTGGGGTGAGAATACGTATGTTTTTTCAAAAAACGAATTAAATGATGTGTAATTAAATAAGGCGTAATGCTTTGTTTATACACAAGGTGTCACTGCAATCCTACTGTGAAGATGTGATAGATGACGTGTTAGTTTGTAGACGGCCGAAAGCCGCCATTTTTACGTGTGACTAAGCAGTTTCATTTCCCATTTCATTGCTTTATTTTTGGAAAGAGCATCTGGTATGAGTGTTTTTTTAATTAAGCTTCTACGGCACTTTGAGCCAGTGGAAATAATACAGCGTGCCAACGGGAATCAGAATGGCAGCACTGGGCTGCTCTGCAAGCCTCCTGCTGCAGCACTGGGGGCATGACCCCTGGCTTCGCGTGTGTGCCTTGCGTGTTCTCACCGTGTTCATGTCTGACCCCAGCTTTGTGTGTTTGTGCTTTGCATGTTCTTGCCGTGTTGCCGTGTGACCCCTGACTTCGCGTGTGTGCCTTGCGTGTTCTCACCGTGTTCATGTGTGACCCCAGCTTTGTATGTTTGTGCTTTGCATGTTCTTGCCGTGTTGGCGTGTGACCCCTGGCTTCGTGTGTGTGCGCTCCGCGTGTTCTTTTTGTGTTTGCATGTGACTTTTGGCTTTGTGTGTGTTTCGCTTGTTCTCACCATGTTGGCATGGATTGTCTCCCACACTCCAAAGAGTCGACTGACGTCTCTTGATTGCCAATTGTGTGCCCTATGGTCGACTGGCATCCTGTACGGAGAGTCCTTGCCTTCCTGGGATAGGCTGGAACCTTCAGAATATTCAAAATTTCCAATTTCACCTTAACAATAAGCAGTATTGAATATACAACTCATCACTAAATTGTTAGTCTATAAAAGTATTTGTATAAAACATTGCAAATTGTAAATTTTTTTCAAATAATGACAGCACGATTGGTTAAAAATTAAAAGAGTTTCTACTACAATAGTGTATAAATGTAGCTTGAAATGAGAGAAAGAATTTGAAACAGAAAGTCAGATGAGATCACCATTTTTAATTCCACATTATGGTGTAATTTCAGGGATGTTATTCGAGGCAGCAGTGATAAATCTGCAGAAGGTCAGAGGAGAGCTACAGCAAGATCATTTAGGGAGGTGCATCAATGAGGCATTCTCACAAAATTACTGGGTCACGACCACGTGATGAATATCGTTTTCAGTTCTGTGGCTGACGTAGTGTCCTGTTACCACCGCACTGCTACCAGCACATCCTACCTGCTGAAGATGTGATATTTATAGCCCCCAAATAGGTCACTTAGATGTGGATGCAGCACCCCCCCCCCACCCCAAACAGTATTTTTATCCATCTTCAGAAACCCCCCTGTAAAGTCCTTGTAAGATGGCAGATTTAACAGTAATATAAGTACATGTATGAATCCTTTCAGAGTAGCAGCAAAAAAGCAAGAAAATAAGATGAAACGGGGCTCTGGCCAAAATGCAAGGACCAAGAGGTTCTGCAACTCTGTGATTTTTATTACTCTGTATTTTGTGTATCTGAACCAAATCTTTAGCTGGAAAGGCACCAAAAAATACTGGTTAGGTCAAGAAATACTTTTAAGCAATAATAAGTTCGCCAAAGGGAGCCAAACGGAAGGACAGCAGAGCGCTAAATGGAGGCTGGGTTGGCTGAGGATGAGCTCGCCCAAAACGCTCCTCAAATCAGCAGGGGCTTCTGAGGTGGGGCCTCTGACTCCTCTTCCTCATCTTCGTACATCTCCCCTTCATCGTCGGCCGTAGCATCCTGATACTGCTGGTACTCAGACACCAGGTCGTTCATGTTGCTCTCGGCCTCGGTGAACTCCATCTCGTCCATGCCCTCGCCGGTGTACCAGTGCAGGAAGGCCTTGCGGCGGAACATGGCGGTGAACTGCTCGGAGATACGCTTGAAGAGCTCCTGGATGGCCGTGCTGTTGCCGATGAAGGTGGACGACATCTTGAGGCCGCGGGGAGGAATGTCACACACAGCCACCTTGACGTTGTTGGGGATCCACTCCACGAAGTAGCTGCTGTTCTTGCTCTGGATGGCCAGCATCTGCTCGTCCACCTCCTTCATGGACATGCGGCCACGGAAGACGGTGGCCACCGTCAGGTAGCGCCCGTGCCGCGGGTCGCAAGCCGCCATCATGTTCTTGGCATCAAACATCTGCTGGGTGAGCTCAGGCACGGTGAGGGCGCGGTACTGCTGGCTGCCCCGGGCCGTCAGTGGGGCAAAGCCGGGCATGAAGAAGTGAAGGCGGGGGAAGGGCACCATGTTGACGGCCAGCTTGCGGAGGTCAGCGTTGAGCTGGCCAGGGAACCGCAGGGAGGTGGTGACGCCGCTCATGGTGGCCGACACCAGATGGTTGAGGTCCCCGTAGGTGGGCGTGGCCAGCTTCAGGGTGCGGAAGCAGATGTCGTAGAGCGCCTCGTTGTCGATGCAGTACGTCTCGTCCGTGTTCTCCACCAGCTGGTGGATGGACAGCGTGGCGTTGTACGGCTCCACCACGGTGTCGGAGACCTTGGGGGAGGGCACCACGCTAAAGGTGTTCATGATGCGGTCGGGGTACTCCTCACGCACTTTGCTGATCAGCAGCGTGCCCATGCCGGAGCCGGTGCCCCCGCCCAGCGAGTGCGTCATCTGGAAGCCCTGTAGGCAGTCACAGTTCTCACACTCCTTCCTCATGACATCCAGCACAGAGTCCACCAGCTCCGCCCCCTCGGTGTAATGGCCCTTGGCCCAGTTGTTCCCAGCTCCACTCTGGCCTGCACAAGAACAGCAACAAAGACACTTATATCTCATAAGATGAAGTCACAGCCATGTAACCAATGAGTCAGCAGTATAAATAGTAAAGAGTAAACGCATGTATAATGCCAAGTAACCATGTGACCCCTAATGTGATGTAGTATAATGTAAATTTAGTATAATAATAAATTCAAGCCACCAGCAATAATGTCCCCAGTATAACATAACTGCAGGGTTAGCTGGAGTTCATAATGAAAGTCATACCTTACACACACCTTCTCCAAATTTCACCTTTCATTCACACCACCTTTGTGTACTTATTCTCTCCATTCGGTAAAGTAAAAAGCACAATTGGAGCTGTGTGCAACATATGACCTTTAAAAACAGGACATATCCTGCAGTAATAATGTGCTGTTGTAGGTAAAGTAGTTCCTGCTCCTGCATTAAAATACATTCAGTGTTGACAAGGCATTAAGATGAGCATCTTCACCAGACGATCTTCAGTAAAAGCCAATGGCATTTCCTCAAGCAACGTATAGGGAACTGACTGGCCAATGACGGTGGCCCTTTTGACAAGGCCAATCCATCACCGTGTGCACAGCTACAGAGCTCTGTGGCATTAGCAGCCCACAACGTTGCAGATGTGACCTTCACAGAGGGGAGGGCACACTCAGCATTTAACATCTACATGACAATGCAGATCAGCTCAGACAGTGCAGTTGCTCAGGGAGCCTACAGTCTGAAATAGGTCAATGTAACCAGAGACGTAATGGAAACTGTGACATCTTTGATAACCGCTTACACTGGTACAAAGAGCATCTGCAAGAACATTTTCCTGTATTCGTGATACAAATAATAAACTTTACATTAACTGTACCTTCATAATGGATTCATTATGCATTCATAGAATATTCATAAGCCGTTAAGGTGTGTTAGGTGGTTAATTTTTTCTTACATGCTGCTTATGAATGTTCTATGAATGCACTATGAAGGTACAGGTAATGTAAAGCATTACTCATAATTGGTTGTTACAAGGATACAGGGCCTAATGACTGGTGTGTTTTATCATTTGTTCATGGTTTCTAAAACCTTCTCCACAGATCATCATAAGGTCCTATGAAAAACACATGAAGGAGAACACTTCACTGACCAAAGATGAAGTTATCTGGTCTGAAGAGGTGGCCAAAGGGACCACACCGTACCGAGTCCATGGTGCCAGGCTCTAGGTCCACCAGGATGGCTCGAGGAACGTACTTGGAGGCTGAAGAAAGACCGGCTTCCTCTCAGCGATTCGTAAACACATCATTGCTACAGTACAACGCCAGCAGGTTTTAAATGCAATAAGGTGGCCATTAATTAGGTTTGGAAAGAAGTAGCCATTAACTAAGAGCAGTGCGTTCATAACCAGACCTTGGATTATAGGTCTATTAATAATGTATATTATCATACTTATACTGTATATCATATGTTATAATAATTGATTATATCATTTGGACTTACATGAGGCCTCGTTATAATAGACACTAATCCTCTCCAGTTGCAGGTCAGAGTCTCCGACATAGTTCCCGGTGGGGTCAATGCCATGCTCATCACTGATCACCTCCCAAAACTGCAAGGCAAACAGAGGAAGCAAGCAGCTTTGCTACAGCCTGCGAAATATGCATCAGCAGAGCATCTCCCTATAAATAGGAGCTACTTTGCGAGTATTGGTGCATTATGCTGCCAGTTACCATGTGAGAAAGACTGAAAGAGTCTGATCTTCAATGACAGGAAAGTGGGAAATTCAACAAACATGTAAATAGTAAGAGCAAAAGATGTCTGGATATCAAGTGTCACATAGGGAGATCCACAGTGGCAGAACAGGTCATGTAAATGGGGAGATGAGCACTGTAAGGACATTAAAAGTCTAGACAGACATCAGCAGCTTCAGGACATAGAGTCTACAGGGAGATCAGCAGTTTCAGGACATAGAGTCTACAGGGAGATCAGCAGTGAGGACATAAAGGGTCTACAGGGAGATCAGCAATTTGAGGACATAAAGGGTATACAGGGAGATCAGCAGCTTCAGGACATAAAGAGTCCACAGAAAGACCAGCAGCTTCAGGACATAATGGGTTTACAGAGAGATCAGCACTGTCAGGAGATCAAGAGTCTACAAAGAGATCAGCAACTTTAGGACATCAAGAGTCAACAGAGAGATTAGCAGTTTCAGGACATCAAGAACCTATAGAGAGATCAACACATTCATGATATCAAGAATCAAGAGAAAGATCAGCACCATCAAGACATCAAGAGTCTACAGAGAAATCAGCAGCTTCAGGACATGAAGAGTCTACAGAGAGATCAGCAGCTTTATGACATCAAGAGCCTAGACAGCAATCAGCAGCTTCAGGACATGAAGAGTCTACTGAGAGATCAGCACTGTCAGGACATCACAAATCTACTAAGACATCAGCAGTTTCTGGACACCAAGAGCCTACAGAGAGATCAACAGCTTTAGGACATCAAGAGTCTACGGAGAGATGAGCAACTTCAGGACATCACATGTAAATTGAGAGTTACTGACAATACCTGCAGTCTACCTGGGATGGAGTCATTCCACTTCTGTTCAGTAGCTGTCCTGCAGATCTCATCAGCAGCCATACAACCTGCCATCTGAAGCTAAGCAGATTTGGGCCTGGCCAGTACTTAGATGGGAGACCAACTAGGAAAGACGGGTTGCTGCTAGAAGAGGTGTTGGTGTGGTCAACCGGTTAGCCCATCCTGTGGTCAGTGTGGATTCCAGTGCAGTGATGGAGACACCATGCTGTAAAAATGGTGCTGTCCTTCAGATGAGATGTAAAACCAAGGTCCTGACTCTTTGAGGTCATGAAAGATCCTCGGGCATCTTTTGAAAGAGTTGGGCTGGCACCCCAATATCCTGGCTAAAACTGCCCACTGTAGCCCTATCAAATCTCCTCCTAATCATCCCCTACATCTAACTGGTGAATTCTCTCTTGCCCCTTCACTACCTTAGCTACTGTGTGGTGAGCGTACTGGTGCAGAATGGCTGTCATTGCATCATCCAGGTGGGGGCTACACAGGGGTGGTGGTTATGTCTTCCCATTGGTTCTATAAAGCACTTTCGGTGCTCGAAAAATGCTATATAAATGTAACTTTCATTTGTCAGCCATTAATAAAAAGACCCATTTACACAAAGACATAGATAGTGTACCCTATGATAAAAATGATTGTTTTGTATGGGGAACAATCTTTCCTTCTGCCCCTAATATTTTGAATTACATTTTACATTTTATTACAAATGTATGTATCTACAGCTTGACCACAGAGTCTTTGTGGATAACAAAGATATATGCCTGAGTTTTACTCCTGTAGCCTATTTGTAAACCAAATACAATGTGACCTTTTAAACAGTTTGTTCTAATACAATATCTTTAAATAAACAAAGAGTATAAACCACTCTTCTATGTTCAAGAGAAAAAGGGAAAAAATATTAAGCAGATAAATGTGAATGCTAATCTCATTAGCTTCATTACAGTTTTCCTGTAGATATGACTACACTGCATGTATTCAGTTGAATGAAACCTTAAAACATAAGCCATTTTCAGTGTCACTGCCCCCTAACAGATGACATCATCCTGACCTTTATTTCACCCTAATAAATGACCCCAGTCCATTAAGAGTTTTTTATACTCAGCCAAGACCTGTATTTCAGGTCCAGAAAGTACAAATCCAGAACAAGATTTTGTTTCAAATAACCAGGTGAGTACTCTGTGACTGTGACTCTTTATGCTCAACAGGTTGGTTGAAACGAAATCATGGTCTGGATTTTTACTTTCTGGACCTGAAACTGCCACCTCTGTTATTGACATAACTACATTTAAATCTTTACGAAGCAGCACTGACACAGCACTTTGGCTTACTGCCACCGTGTTCTCCTTAGGGTTTGTGTGAGGTTCCACTAGAAGCATTTATTTTCTCCCAGGCTTCAAAGATGGATGCAGATTAGTGTCTCTGAATTTCCCTGACTGTGCACGAGATTGTGCCCTGTCATGAACTCGCATCCCTTCCATGCTGTCCCTGCCTTTGCCCTGCACCACCTGGGATCGGTTCCAGGAGCCCTATGACCCTGATCTGGATAAATGGTTAAGGAGGATGGATGGATGCAAGAAAACACCACTGAATCTCCATTTCCACTTAGCCTGTACAGGAACTGTACATACGGACTGAAAATGCCATCCCATCATCCTTCGATCAAGGAGCTTACCCAAACGCTGGCAACCTGCCTCCCCAGCTGCAAAAAATGGTGTGTAATAATGTTCACTGCTCAGTTAAGACGTCCCGAGCATGAAGACAAACCCAAGTATAACACATTTAATTAAGTACCCGGTCACACAAAAAAAATATCTGAAGTGACACATCAAACAGACAAGAGGATGTCAGGCGTGTTCAGGAGGGATGTCACAGAGCTTTATGGTCCGGAAGACAATCTGGCACCCTCTGATGTAGCCTGCACCTAAGAATAGACTACTGCACGTGCCTACTTCACATTTCCGGTATAGAAGTGTTAAACGTTTTTAGTATATATTTACTCATATGTTAATTAACTTGCAATCCAGGTTTCCCGTCATTCCTGGAAGCTCAGTCCAGCAGACCAACGCCTAGCTAACTCCTTGACAGCACGTACGTTAATGTTTGCAATGTGCTATTTGTCGCACTTTTACGTCACTTTGGACAAAAATGCCTGCCAAATAAATATATGTACATATATTAATTAGGTATGACCTTTACAGTGTAAATGTCATTCTCTGGCTTGGCAGTACCCGTTATTGCTCTGACTTGAGCAGAACAGCAGGGGGAGTGCCGGGAACATAATCTGAGCAATTTTTTTTTAACAATAACAAAGTAACGGTGATACTGAAAATTAGGACATACGGATAAAAAAATAAGTGACGTAAGACAATGTCAAAATGTACAATTTGTCCATAATACATAATGCTGGACACTTCAACGTCTCCGTTAGTGCAGACATATACACCGAATACCATGGGGATGAAAGCCAACTTCTTGAGCCAAGTATTCATTTCCATGTGGGATCGGTACCGGAGCGCGTGACGATACGGGGCAGTGCGCACTGCGGACTGGGGTGCGGCGATGCGGTCGGGGGGGGGATGCGATAATACCCTGCTGAAAAATTCTGCGTTGTGAAACCCTACAGTGTTCAAGGGACGATCTAACGGAATAACCGAGTAACAACGCAGGAGGACGGCGCTCTGTTCTCCGCCCCCCCACCAGAAGGACCCTGACAAACTGTTGCGCTTTCGGACACCGCGCTGATCCCATGCGACTCGGCAGTGGGGGAGCGATCATGTCTCCCCCGGTTACGTCTTCCCCGGTCACGTCTTCCCCGGTCATGTCTCAGTTATGATTTACTCCCTCATGTCTTTCCTTATAGCAAAACCGACCATAGTCCGCTGCTGCGTCATACTTTCATTCCGTGCCGCTTTCTTGAACTTATTCCATATTCATATTCCAAATATTCAAATCAATTCAAATTTTTTTTGTACAGCGCATTTTCACATTACCTTAAATACGCGCCTCATTGCCCTTAAGAATCACTTTACGTGATGTAAAACAATCTCTCAACACCCTGTCATGTGGAATAAGAAGACTAAAGGATCAAAAGGGGAAAAAAACGAAAATCAAATAGATAGCAGACTACGTTAAAACATATAATAACAAAAAGGGATTTACACGACTTGGCTGGCAGTTCGCATTAAGGATTGATTGGTATTCATTTGGTAGTCATTTTACCTTAGCGCCGATCTGATTGCCACATTGGCCGGCCTGAATATGAACGATTTCCCGCATCGTGCTCTGGGTCCTCGGCGTGTCCTGCGAAGCGGCACAGCTGGGTTTGTTGATACAGAGCGACGCGGGGTTTTATATGCAGCTGAGGTGGCTCTACTTCACTGCACAGCCGGTACCCAGGGCATCGCAGCACAGCTGACCAATCAGGAGGCGCAGATGAGCAGCATCAGGACCGGGCAGGCAAAGCGGGGGGGTGGTTAATTTACTCTTCAGATAGTTAGTTCATTTTATAGTAAAAACAAATATTTTAGGACGACGCGGTTTACTTTTCTACAAAAAGCCCTGTGTCATGACACAATATCCTATAGGCATCATCAAAATGATCTGCTTTTGTGCTGCCACAGCCATTCTGTTGCATTATAGACAAAATATGTAATGTAACACATTGGGCTTTTGCTAACAGCATAACATTTTAAAACACTTTGCACCCATTTGTAACAAACACCATTCATTGTAGTACAGCGCTGGTTCCGAAACCAAGAGCTCAACAAAAAAAGGCAACTTGAGACAAACTACCTTCCTGCTTTAAACTCATTTCAACTAAGCTGTAGATACCATGAGAGAAAATGCTTCCTAAGCCTTCAGAAAGCTAATACAGTAAAATCCCATTATAGTGGACTCGCTTATGACGGAATATCGTTTATAACGGAGGAGGTCCGCTGGTCCCGGCCGTGCGCCTTTACGAACATGCAGAAAAAGCGTTGGATACAGCGGACTCGCATATAATGGAATTTCACTTATAACGGACAAACAATTTGGTCCCCAGGGCCGCTTTTAGCTGTAGTTTTGTTCGGCTATAACGGACATGCAGGCTCCGCCTACAAGGCGCGTGGCGTGCCGGTGATATCCAGCGCAGATACGTAGTCGGAATTATTAATAGTCACGCATCTGGTCAGGTAAAGTTGGATTACTACATGTACAATATAATAATCTATACCACACGTGTGTCTGCTGGGGTGCGGCATTAGTAAATGGTGTCCTGTAGTTGCGTTCTGGGCTTACAGCAACTCTGGATATAACGGACTGTTTTTTCAGGTCCCTTGAGGTCCGTTATAACGGGATTTTACTGTATAGGAGGTCCTGCTATTAGCTAATTGGTGGCCCTTGATTCTTTAAATCAGACAGGTCAGATTGTTATTGAGAAGTCAACATTTAACCCAAACATCTGAGCTATGAGACCTGATAGAGTAGATTCTGGTATTTCTGGAACATTCCCCTGGCCCTGCATTGATCTGCTTGATTGGCACCAGACTGGGAAAGTGCTGTGACAGTAGGATGCAGTCAAGAGGAAGGTGCTGTTTGGTGATGGAACCCCAGAGGGCAGCTGGACTGGATTTTTAAATCTGTTCCCAAAGGAGGATCTCTGGCTCAAAATGGCTAATAAAAATATGTAACTCATAGAGTGTCTCTGTAGTCATAGGGCAGAAAGTCTTCCAGGAAGAAGATCATTGATACATAAAAGTGCTAGGACTTTTCTTATGTGGTGCTGGACTGTGGGACCACCCTGATGAATAGCCCATTAAGACTGGCCCAGAATGTGAGGGTCTGCAGTGAGCCTCCTTCCTGTAAAGCACAAGGCTTTACTGGCATACTGGAAGAACATGCAAAACCCATATTTAGAGACTGGGCCTACAACCTTGCTCGTCTCAATCCCTAACAAGCACCTTCTATTCACATTATAAAGGAAATATCTCCCTCTAGTGGTGATGTTGTCATAATTAAAATTCTGCTTATACTCGTCTTGGCCAGATCAGCAAGACATTTTGATCATATCCTAGTTCTTTATAAAGAGAAATGTTAACATGACTCAGATACATATCATACAGGACAACATATCTCCTCAACGATTTCAATTGATTGAAAACCTTTCGCTAATTTTAAAACTTAATCATAAAGCCAACTTTAGGGAATATTTTAATCTGCATATTTATATAAACACTTTCTGAATATTTTATTTTATTGTGAAAACAATTCAGGCCATATTATCAAGCTGCAATAAGGAATCCTAACATTAAAGTTGTGTCAATGTTAGTTATATGAATTAATTTTGGAGTAGTTGCACATCAGATGGTCTTAATCGAATCAATCAACACAAATTATTGAAGTAAACGCAATATAATATGATATAACTGAAGTACCTGCCCTGGCTAGACCTTGAAATTATGACGAACTGTTGACATTTGACTCACCTTATTTGGAATGATACAAGCGTTTATAATATGATGATAAACACTTGTTTTGACATGCTATCTGTAACAAGCAGACTGTAATTGCATCAAAACTTGAACACCTCACCTGAAAAACCAACACACACACACACAGCCTCTGTAGCAGAGGTGGAAAGTTTCTGTTCAGAAAGCACAAATCCAGACCAATATTTTGTTTCTACCAATCAGTTGAGCATAGTCACAGTCACAGATTACTCAGCTAGTTGGTTGAAACAAAATCTTGGTCTGGAACCTGAACCTTCCACCTCTGCTCTCCAGTCATGTACCATAAAGGACCAGGACATACGCCATAGGTCCCTGTCATAGTTTGCATGTTTAGTGTAGCCGTTATTGGGTCATTTTTGGGCCAGGTTTTACACCCAGCTTCTGAATCAGAAGCTCAGTGTTCTAGTTCATGGGTTCTTGTACAGCAGAGGATGATCTGTCTCATTGTACATGCAGACAGTCTTCTAGTGCTGAAGAACCTGGTTACTAGCATCAGTTATGTAAATGTCCTCATTTGTTCTCGTTTTCCCTCATTGACTTTGCTTCTGGTTCTACTACAAATGTGTCCTTACAGCAAAGGATAAGTGCTTATGTATTAAAAGGCTCAGTGGTTTAACCAACATGGATTTCTTTCACACTTTCACACTTGGACCATCCACTTCAAGGTCACATCTGGTCTGTTCATCCACACCTTTGACCCTTCATTACAGACCTGCTAACTATCGTGCTTCACATATTATCACCTGTCCTTCATTTCTCTGTATTTCTAGTGTCCTACAATTAGGCGTTTGTAGTATTACGGTAATATTATGCAGCAGTATTTCGAAATCTTCCCAATTTTAGAAAAAAAAATTAGCCAAGTGCGCGTTGGTGGTACTTTTGCAAATATCATCAAAATACCATAGTTTAATTCTGCATGTTCTGGTTACTAATTATTGTTTGATTAGACCTTGGTGATGTTCTGTGACACCAGGGTGCACCTGGGCCAATCAGAGTGAACATTCTCAATTACCCAGCCTATCACAATGTAACTTTTATTCCATGGCATATAACCACTCAACCCCATCATCACGACAAACGCTTCAACAGGAACACAAAGACACTGCCACTTGCATATAGTATACCTGAAATGGTGCTCTCTGGAGCTCCTCTTGTCACCAGCATCCCCTTCAGTTGGAGGTTTGATGACAGGGAGGATGAATCTTCAGGACCTTCAGGATGAACCTTCAAATGTGAAAGAATCCACTGGCACAAAACATTTAATAGTTTCTAACAGAAATAATGTTTACTGTTGGCTGAAACATATGTGAAGGCAAAGTCTGCAAAGACAATGACTGTGAAGGCATCATCGGTGAAGGCAACGTCTGTGAAGATATTGTCTGCAAAGGGACTTAGTACCCAAGTCCAATACAACACAGAATCACATTTTTATTTGTGCGATTTTCAATTGCAAAGAAAAGCAATAAGCAAACTACGTGACATGAATTTAGAATTAGAATTTAGTGATTGTCATTGTTGACACACCACAGCACACAGTACACAACAAAATTTGTTCTCTGCATTTAACCCATATGTGACAATGTGACATAGCAGGGGGCAGCTAATTTGTCCCCAAAAAGGGGATGTGATGTGGCTGTCCCTTGTGTGCTGTAAAAGGATGTCCTGTGGCATTCCAACCTACCTGTACTTGGGCAAATGGAAAATAACAGATTGTTTTATTTAATTTCCTTTTCATTAAACCCAGAAGGCCAGTGCTGCAAACCTGCATCTTCAGCAAAGTTAAGCTTCTGTCTAAGGGACCAACATGTCCAAAAATGTAACGCCTGCCAGATATTTCAAGGCAGGCAGCACTGAGAGGTGAAAGGGCCCAGAATATCTGCTCAACGCCTCACATGTACGGTATCATTTCATGTTCGGTTCAATCTTTTTAAATTTAATTTCATCTGCTTACAGCTTCGCCACTCACTCAGACTGCTTGACTGCTTCCCCTGTATGCACATGCAAGTGAGGAATGAGGCCGGGGTGGGTAACAAGTGCCAGTACCAGAATTCCTCTTACCATTAAGAGTTAATCTAGCATTCAGATGGATTTCAGCTTTTAACATCCCAGCAGACAGAGCAGCTCAGGTTCAGTACCTTCACTGAAAGGCACAGCGGTTGGAACCCTTCATGGACCTGAAGTCTCCAGTGTTTGTCACAGTGTAGTGGTAAGTAGTGCTGGACAAATTAAGCTTCATGAACCATTAGTGGTATTTTCTGTCTCTCTTACATGGTGTCATCTGCTCATAAAAAGACTCAAAGCATGCCCTAAAGCAAACCAATAGCACCATCTAGTGGGGTAAAAAAAATACAGCAAATGGTTCATGAAGCTTCATTTGCCCATTACTACAGGTCAGTCCATGGACACAACCCAGTGAACCGGTGCGCCCTAGTGGGCATGCTTTATTTCCTTCTTATTTAAAAGCCCACAAAGACACAGTAACTCATTTATTTTCTCTTGCATGTCGTATATACACGTTAGGAGGCGGATTTACACTTACTCCCACATTAGTGTCTTAGAAAACTGTACACAAGTTCAGTTCTGCTCCCCCTTGCAGTTTAGCAGAAAGGACTTTGGCAGACACCAGAGGGGAGGGGCTTTGCGGCCCTGCTCAGGCCGCTCCTTGGGCCCAGTGCTGATTACACCAGGGGCTCCTCGCCGAGGCGAACATCACCCGCAGGATACAAAAGGGAAACCTTTTAGGTTTCATATCAAACAAATAAATAGGCACAGTGTCCGGTTTTGTACATGTAGAGGATCAGATGGAGTGGACAAGTCCTCCTGAGGTCAGAAGGTGCTCTGCAGCAGACAGTGGCAGCCACAGCCTGTTGGACACACCTCCTGCGTGCGGAACCACTCCATCATGTGGCTGGTGTGTCCGCCGTGGCC